ATATGAACCAGCTCCCATGCAGGATGCTCATGTTACAGGTGGTGGTTTTACCTTGTAAGCCACAGTGCTTGGCCTGGGATGGGCAGAAAGGAAGAAAAAAAGTAAGGCATGTGGCAAATTTGTCAGATGGAAGCATGAAGTAGCTACCATTTTTTCCCTTACTTTATGGAATGCTGTGATTAAAGGTGACCTGAACCAGTTGGATTTTCTCTGAACACAAGTTTTTGTAGCTTTTCTTTTTTTCACTGCTCAAAACATTCTATGGCCTGTGTAGGCCAGAGTGATGGGGATTTACTAAACTTTGTCAAGCTATGCCTTTCCTGATGCTGGGCACACGTGTGGAGAGGTTGATTCCTGTTTAGTTCTCACTTGGCATCCCTTTCCTGTCACTCTTCATCTCTGTTGATACAGCCGACCCTTCAGAATATGCCTGGGTTGCTGACACATGGGTGGAGTCGGGGGCTTGTGGCCTGACGGTGGAGGGCGGAGGAGAGGCCTTGGTGCTTACTGTTGCAAGGACCTATGGGGGATTTATTTCACTACTGGGAGCATCCCTTTCCTGTCAGAGGACACCCACACGCCCAGCGTGTGCCTCAAGGCTTGTGCAGTGCTGTAGTCTGCATCTGTTTGAAAAAACAGAACTGTTGCTGATGGCTGCTTTACAGAAAAATGTGTCTAAGAAACCTAACTTGGAAATGCAGATGTAAGATTAATGCACCAATACTATTTAATTGTTTAAACCTCGTCACAATATTTTGAAGAATCTTTCATTAAATCTCTGCTGAAGGCTAAAATTTCTGAATTATACGTTTGTTCAAACTAGCCTCTGACAACAAGAATGGTTAAGGCAATTGAGATGGACATTTTCTGTATGTTAACATCAGTAGATCCAAGTTATGGAAACTTCTGGAGGTAGGACTTAAAAGCTGCTGATACCAATAATACAAAATTGTCTTGAACAATGTAGTAATATTTTGTTTGACTTTTTTTAATTGTAAAAAAGACCATGTGGCCATGCTTCATTGCCAGTTTGCTTGACTTAGTTCTCTGTCAGTAGTTGTGAAGCAGTTTAATATCTGAGTTTTAATTTTCTAATTATGACATTTCTTGAAAATTTCCTAAAAATAAAAAGTTGAGTATCTTGTTGCCCCACTCTATAGAGCTAAATGCAGTCAATGTGTGGTACGTTTCTTCCCAGTCTTTTTCAATGTATAAAGTATGAAAATTATTTCCGAGTTGAGATCATACTGCATGTATGGTACTGTATCTTGCTCTTTTATTCTTTTTCTTATTTTAACGTCGTGAGTATTTTTCCCATGGCATTAAAAACTGTCTTTGAAAAATGGAAAGCACTTTGGGCTGTCAGCATTTAACTGAAATGTTTTCTTGGTGTGACACGTGTATCTTTGTAAACTGGTTTGATTTAGTGTACTTCAATAAAAATTCAGTATTATGATCTACAGATTGGGGGTGGGGAGTGGTATCTCCTTCAAATGCCTAAGGTCTTCCTGGTAGGATTTCTCTTTAAATGGGCGAGTCCTCTGGTACATCCGTGACCCCTCTCGGACACTGTAAATGCTCTCTTGGCCTGGCCTCGGCACACAGCTCTGAACGGGGAGTGCTCTGCCCTGGTGCTGTCTAGGGCTCATGGTGAGGATGCTGCCCCCTTGGATCAAGTCGTGGGGATTGCAAATCCCCCATTATGTGGCCTGGAGGGCCTGGCCCTGCATGGTGGGGTAGTGCCTGTGCACCCCAGGGCTGGGGAGGGGCTGGGGAGCAGGGAGTCAGTTGTGAGATGAATGGGGTGGATTTGCTTTCTCTGCCTGTATGTGATCTAACTATACTGGGAAACTGGGATTACATGTAATTAATTCTGCAAAACAGCATTTTCCTATCATCCTAAGCATGAACTTGGTATAATAATAGCTCTGTGCTGCTTATTTTAATAATTTGCCATGTAACTCGAATTCCAATAACCCAGACTGTAAATTTGTATTAGCTGCAGTGGAAGCTTTAAAGGTTAATTAAATCATCTCAATCTCCCCTTGCTCCTGCACTAATCATTTGCAATTTATGCAGAAACTTTGAAATTTTTACTTATCTTTTGTTAAGCAATTGAGACTTCTGTCTAATCATGCTACTTGTTCTGCTTTTGTCAATTGATATTTCTGTAGCCTTTTGGAAAAGTGTATTTTTTGGTAGAAATTAAGTTGTATGGCCTCAGGACATATCACTTAGCTTTTTGGTTGCGAAGCATGTTCCGATGTTCTGTACTTGTATAGGCCTGACTGTTCATGTGGCTTAGCTAAGGTTCCTGCTGCATCTCCCAGCAGCTGTCACTGGCTTATAAAATAAAATTTGGGATTTGTAAAAATACATATTTTTTGGTTGTTAATCTTAATTGTTTTTTTTTTTTTTTTTAACATTTGTGAAGTCTTTTTGGGGGCAATGAAATAGGTGAACCCAAACCAGACTTTCAGTTTGGAGAGTAGCGTTTGTGCATTGTGGTTTTACTCGACCTGTCAGACTGCTGTCCTACACTGGATGGAAAGTTTCCAGAGGATATTGGGGAGCTTTCCAAATAGACCAAATTATGTCTCTTTAAGTATCTTTTTTATGGATGTAGTAAGACATTGCTCCAAGGGCTTGTGACACTTCTGACCAGTTGTGAGCCTTCAGTGTTTGGCACATTGCCCTGGGACCCTAACAATAACAAGAAGGGCATTTGGGTGGGCTTTGTTGGATTTTGTTCTGTGATTTCAAGTGAAGGGGGATTCCTAAATTTAGTGATAGAAGTAGCCCAGTTAATTGCCAGATGCCCAAATTTGCATTATGCAGCAAGTGTGGAAAGGTTGTTATTAAAGGCTGTAGGTGATTTTGGGGTACCACCTTATGAGCTGTGAAGTTTTCAGTCCCGAGGTGCCCGGGTATATCTCTGGCCTTGGAGGTGAATAGACATCAACAGTTGGACCTGGAATTTCAATTAGGAGGATTAGGACCCTGCAGCATTACTTTGTAGAATTCAGTGAATGTTGTGTGCCAGGTACTGTGTTAAGTTCGTTCAGTAGAGATAACATACACTATAAGGAAGGAAGGGTTGATTGTGCAGAGGTCTCTCTTTTTAAATGAAGTAATCCGGTGTGCTTTGGGGGAAGATCCAGTACAGTTCCTTTTCTGAAGATGCTAAGTCTGTGATGCCCACTGGGCAGTTATAAACATGGGTGTGCCCTTGGGCACATGAGAAAGGTTTGTCCCTGTGGGACCAATTAGGAAAATGATGCCCCTGGGTAAGCTGAGGAGTGAGGATGTCACCCTGGGTGACCCCAGCCCGCTGGGCAGAAGAAAAGCCTACAGATTGGTCTCCAAAAGGAACAGAGAATTCAAAGCAGGAGGAAGACAAGTTAGCAAGAGACTGAAATAGAAGTAGGAAAGCAGTGTGCATTGAGAGGTTGAAGGCCACCCTCCCACCCCACCGAAATGATGGGAAGCTAGGTAGGACGCTCACACTGGGATACTGGGGCTGCAGTGTCGGCAGGGAGAGAGCAGCTGTGAGAAACTAGGTCTCTGGCCTGCCAGCCCTAGGCCCGCGTGCCCCACTTGCCAAGATGTGTGAGGCCTTAACAGGGGCAGCAGAGTTGTGATAAGAATGTAGGTTCGCCTTGAGTGAGTCCCGGCACTTGGTGGTTACCTGTTGGCCTTGGGCGAATGAGCCTTTGAGACTTGATTTTTCTTCTGCAGGATGGAAGTACTGAAGATGTCACAGTATTGTTCGGAGGATTAAAATTAAAAAGCACTTTGAGAGTAATTGGTCTAGGAAGCCCCTAATAGGTTTTTTTTTTTTTTTTAAGATGATGACTGTGGCAAGTCTTACAGAGGGATCCTAGACTGAGTTCCTGTGAGGGCCAGTACAAAGGAGAGGAGCTAGGGCAGGTTCCTGGAGTAGAGTGCTCAGAGCCAGGGAGCAGGTGCTGCCCGAGGCTGGGCTGGGTGGTGGTAATACCATTATCCACTGAGGTGGAATTCAACTTACTCATGTGGTATGAGGTGCCTCCCATTCAATTTGAAACCATTTCTTTTCTAAAGATTAGAATGAGCCCCCACTGAGTCAAACTGTCAGCTGATGTTAAAATGTGGAGCCTAGGAGTGTTGATCTCTGAAATACTGGTTTACCTAGGTTTAGGTGTGAATTTTATCAGTACCAATATCTAGGTGGGGCTAGTGGAGGGAGAGTTGAGGCAGAAAATCCACTACAAGTGATGTCAGATTTTAAAATTTTCAGTTCATGCTTCTTGGCCCAATATTGTGCCTTTCACAGGTTTATCCTAAACATCTAGGAGTAGAATTGGAGTTTGAGTTCCTTAAAGGTGTGTAAAAGAGTCCAACAGTGAGTGCTGGGTGGGTTTCATGCACCCTGAGTGTGCCCTGGGAGTTGGCACTGTCCCTGCCCTTGCTCTTCTAAGGGAGGTGAGGCTGGTGCAGGCTGTTGAAGGCGGGCTGTGTGTCACACACAGTCCTGACACTGGGTGGTCACACCCACTTCATACCCTTACGGTGCTGGCATGGTGGCTTGCAGTGTACTGGACTGGGTGAAGGGCCTGGAAATGTTAGTCTCTGTTGTGCACCATTTAAGGACACAGCACATTGGAGGGATCTATCAGACTGGTGACCCAAAGTAGGGGGGTCACCAGAGTTCCCCGGTTTAGAGCAAGCCCCTCCTGTCCTTATCTGTGAGCTGTGTAGCGTAGGTGTTTGTTAATGAGAAAGTGTGAGAGCTTCACGATGCCTGGACACTTAGTCTGGTGTTGGACACAGGAAGTTTTCAACAACTGGTAGTATCACCAGGGTTTTTTGTTTTTCTCCCAAATTAAAGTGCTCATTGGTGACCTCTTACAAAGGAAGTAGAAATCTTTTGGCACTGTGACAACATGGAAAGTAAAGTGGGTTGCTTTCAAAAGGGTCGAATAACCGAGCAACTCTAAACCCTCTTTTCTTCTTCCTAGGTCTTAGTGGTGCAATGGCTAGTATAAGCGTGCGTTCGAGTACCCCAGGCTCTCCTACACATGTAAGCAGTGGATCGAATGCTAGTCGAAGGAGAAATGGACTCCATGATGTCGATTTGAACACTTTCATATCAGAAGAAATGGCACTCCACTTGGACAATGGTGGAACTAGAAAGCGTACCTCAGCCCAGTGTGGCGATGTCATTACAGACTCACCAACCCATAAACGCAACAGAATGATCTAAACCGCAGACATTTTCACACCCACCATGCTGCTTGAAAGCCACTTGATCCTCAACATATACTATGATTGCAAAGGAAACATGAGGCCATCTTCCCTTGTTCACTGTTTAAGACAAGTGAATTCTGTAGTGGTTGCCATAAAAGGAAGTTGTAGGTATTTCCAGTAGATGCCTCTTGTAACTATGGCTTTCTTCAAACTATAATCCTAGCAGAGGACATCAGATATCCTGTAGTCGTTAGCAAGATCATCATAGGCAAACATATATCCGTTCCAAGGCAAAAAGTGACCTTAACTGTATTTATTCTCAAAGGGAAAGAAAATATCAGATGTTTATTTGGTTATAGAATGCCTTTTTTGTTTTGTCCATTGCCTGCTGTGTTGAGTATTTTTTGCTTCAACAGTATTGCCAGGTTCCTAAAATTGTCTAAAAATACGATTTGGCTTCACTGTCAAATCATTAGGCTTCCATTCTTGCAGTGGCACTGTACCTTGCACCTGGTTCTGTATTACAGTGTGCAACTTCTAGTTATTGACTTTGCCCACATTTAAGTTTTTCAACAGTTTCTCAATTCTGGTGATTGTGTGATGTAAAGAGGTGCTATGATGGCCATGCAAGTAATACTTAAATCAATACAAAGAACTTTATTGGACTCACTTGTGTGTGTTAGTGCTCTAAAAGTAGCAATATTACTCACCTGCCCCAGATTCACCCCCTAGGCTTAAAATACTCAGTTTTAAGACAAGTACTACTTCCTATGCAGGATATTTTCCTCCTGGTAAATGTCAACATGTAGCCGGCATTCAGGGTGACCTGAAAGAGAGGTCATGAACTTTGAGAATGGGCTTCCTTTTAGGGCAGTGTCAAGTGAGCGGGAGATGGATGGGGAGGGAGGGCGGGTGCTGGGGCTTTCACACTCTGCCATTCTTCATGGACACCCTGTTTTGTGCAGTTCCATGGTCACAGATGGAAGATGATAAAGACCTATTTTATCTGCTGGAACGATCACAACTTAACAAAATCCAGCTCCCCCTGTCTCCCAGCCCCGCTCCTGAAAGGCGCAGTGGAAAGTCTCATTCTGGAAAAGATGGAATCGCATGGAGGTTGTCTAGATGTTAGGTGAACCTAAATAGAAGGTCCCAATAGGTTCCTCTTTGGAGTGTGAGATCTCTTGTAGCTACGGTGTTTTAGAGCATGTTTCACCTTCATTTTTAATACCTTGAACTGAACGATAGTCTTTTTAGATGAAGAACTGATGTCAGCCTGCCAGGTACTGTAATTTACTCTATCATATTATAGTATATATCAAGTAGGACAGTGAAAAATGTTTCCTTGCAAACTTGTAGTCCAGGATCAGTTACTTCCTATTTTTATCCTTAAATGACCATTGCAAATCAGTGTAAGGGTTTTTTTTTTTCTGGTAATTACTCACAGCACTTTGTTAAAGTTTGCAATTTCTTTAGCTATTTAATAATATCTTTCTGTGAAGAAACTTTGCTAAGTTAACCATAATATTCATTGACTGGGTGAGATGTGAATGGAATATTAGAAATGTGTGAATTGAAGTTCTGTAATCCTTATAGATATAGCCCTTATTTAAAGAAGTGAATTCCATACTAAAACTAGCTATGAAAGTGAGGTATTTCTAAATTTTTGCGAAATGGGTATTTTTTTTTTTTTCCTGGTTTGAACATAACAATAGCAGGAAGAATTCTAGCAATCTGTCATTTACCCGAGTCGGACCAGCCTGTGTGGCCTAACGGCTCCCGAGGGAGTCCAGCAGGAGATGCGCTGGGTTGTCTTTGTTTATCCTTGTGACTGGGGCTCTAGAGCTGGGGTGCTGGGGCGATGCTTTGCTCCCAGGCAGCCGGAGCTCTGGTTCCTGCGGGACTTCGAGATTGACGATTACGTATTTAATCTCTCCTCTACACCTTTGTTCTAGTTCCTCTTCCCAAGTTGAATAACAATTTTTGGTTGTTTAAGTTGGTGCTCTGAAGCTTACTCTCAGAACCCTTTACTCTCGATTGTCAAATTTTGATAAAATATGTGCCATTTTCTTTGGTAAGAGAAAGCAGGTCTTCATGTCTGCCAGAACACAATTTATATGCCTTATTGGCCCCATTAAACTTTTTAAAAACTTTAGCATTTGTTATCTTTGTTCCACTGCATTAATGTTAAGTACTGTGGTGCCCACCCCTCCCCCATTGTTCTCTAATGCGCCCCCAGGCAGCAAGGGAGCCGATTTCTCCAAGGAAAAACTTAGTTCTGACAGCTGGATTTTTTGAAATGCGTCTTCATAGCAGTTAGGATGCAGAGCAAATCATGAAAGATGACATCTTTGTGTGGCACTTTCTATACTTGATCTTAAGCAAAAGGCCGAGAAGCGATTGTGTGGTACTTTGTAAAGGTGACATTGATGCTTTCAGTCTCCTGAGTGTGCAGGCTGGATTCCAAAACCGGCACATGCAGAGGTCCTTTCCTCTGTGCACCGAGTCTGCTCATGGCACTCTCCACAGCCCATTGGTTTTGCCCATTGCCTCACTTGACACGAGCTGGTTGAGTCATCCTTGCACAGCAGTGTTCTGAGCCCTCCCCCATGCTGTCAGTGGGTCCTGCCATTGAGAAATTGACACAGTGCAGTTTTCGGAAGAAAATGAAAATGGCAGCCAAGGATGTGGCACCTTCACATGGTTAGTACTGACGCCCTCAGGGAGGTGAGGCGGGCTCCCCAGGTCGAGTTGGGGGCTTGGTGTCTGGCTGCCGTGTGACTACAGTTGTCTGTGAGGTGGGGGAAGTTGCAGTCTGACTCGTGAAGGAGGGTGTGGGGTCCCATGGAGCACTGTGATGGTCACTTCTGGACTCGTCCTCGCAGCTCTGTCCAGGCATGTGCCACTGTGGCTTCGCACAGCGCCCGCTGCTCACAGTGCTGAGATGGCGCTCCCGGGCAGGAGATTGCCTCTCCCCATGATGACACCCAGATTCCAGTGACGGTGTTGCTTTCAAGAAATGTTTAACCACCAAGAGGTGCAGATGTGCCGTTGGCACTGCTTGTATGGACACAGTTACAGTGGGTGTGCACACTTGCTTTGCACACCCGGAGCAACAAGTGACTTCTTCCTCTCTCTGCTCCCTGCCCTCCCACGTTAGCACATAGTCTCAGGAGGTTGTGACGCACGCTTGGGGCCATTTGTCCCGTGTAGCCTACTGCATCTGACTTCACCACCAATGTTTCTCGAATGAGCAAGTAGAGAAAAGGTGGCTTGAAAAGTCTCTTGGGTTTTCACAAACCCAGGTTTTTCCTCCTGGGCTTGTAGAGTACCCAGAATTAGGTGGGGCTGGGGTGGGGCTCTGTGAGGTGTGGGTGTGATTTCCCCAGCCTGACCCTGCCAGGGGTGGTGCATGGTGTGTGCCTTGTCATCACCCATCTGGAAAGAAATTGTTGCACAGCGCCTGAGGTCCTTCTCTGGAGTTCTGCGCCAGCCCCCGTCCTCAGTTTATCCTCAGCTCCTCCCTCTGATGGCATGATTCTTCATCTGTCCGTTACTAGGACCAGCCATGGCCAGGTTTACCCCCAGGACAGTTGGAGCTGATGTTGACTAGGCAGCAGGTGTCCAGTAGTGCCAGGCTGCCCGCGGCTGAGGGCAAGTGCTTCATCAGAGGACTGGGCCTTGCTTGCAGCTGCCTGCCACCCACCTCCAGGCTCCCCGGACTTTGAGGAAATCTGGTGGGATTGGTGGGTTTTTCTGGGGCAGGGTGGTTGGTTGGGCTTGGCAGGAGGAAGTTGGCACCCACAAGGCCCCAGGGTACGGTGAGTCATGACTCACCAGGAGTGACCCAACAACAGCTTCCGGAACCTGGCAGGGCTTTGTCACCCTGGGGAAGGTGGGTGCCCATGCTCACACCAATTCTAAAAGGTCTGGGTTATGCTAAGGGGATCTTCAAAGAGGCAAGGTAAGAGGATAAATAAATGTCAAAAGGACCCTGAGTATGTAAGAACTGGCTACTGCTTGTACGTGGGCAGGGGAGAAGGGCTTGTGCAGAAGGGCGTGGGTGAAGTCATCTTGAACATCTCCCTGGATGTGAGCTGCCCAGCGACCTGGAGCCATCTCAGCCTCTTGACAGCTACGAGGGACACTGCCAAGGTCGAGGCTGATGTGTACAGGAGAAAACACAGGCCCTCGGTCCTTGGGCGTGTCCGCCATCATGCCAACTCCTCTGCAGTCTTGTTGAGTGAAGCATGCTTAACCGTGTTCCATGGACCCCAAGTCTCCTTATCTTGTGCAGTGTTTACTGGGGGTGGGGGGACCTGGTTTAAACACACATCAAGGGTCCATGTGCTCCTGAATATGGGCGTACAAGGGGGTCGTGCGGAGACATGCCAGTGTGTGTACCTTAGCCATCAGCCTGTGCCCAGGAGGATGGTAGGACTGCAAGGAGGACATGGGAGAGGCTGCCTGTAGCCCTTGGGAGGTCGCTGCTGTGGGTGAGTACTATGTACATTCATCACCTTCACCAGTGATGGGCAACCCTCGCCTGCCTGGCTGCCGCAGCCCCGGCCCCTCGGCTGCTCACCTGTCCTCAGGTCCTCTTCCTCTGGATCACAGCACACCCTGCTGCAGAGACCCAGGGCAGAGGTGTAGGCTCTTGGTGGGTAGTGGTCCTGGGATTTTCTCTCTGCAGTGCAGCTAGCAGGGGCTGGGGTCTCCAGCTACGGGCTGTAAAAATACCATGATGTTCTTGGAGCTCTGCCTCTGGGAATCCCTTCCAGCCTCTTTATGAAGTCTGTGGCCCCCCCCCCCTTTTTTTTTTAAAGAGTTATTTTTATTTATTGGAAAGTCAGATATACAGAGAGGAGGAGAGACAGAGAGGATGATCTTCCATTCAATGATTCACTCCTCAAGTGAGCACAGTGGTCGATGCTATGCCGATCCGAAGCCAGGATCCAGGAACTTCGGGTCTCCCACGCGGGTGCAGGGTCCCAAGGCTTTGGGCCGTCCTCGACTGCATTCCCAGGCCTCAAGCAGGGAGCTGGATGGGAAGCGGAGCTGCCAGGATTAGAACTGGTGCCCATATGGGATCCCGTTGTGTGCTGCTGGGCCCTCCCCCTTTTTTGGGATGGGGAAGGGTTCTTCCATGTCCAGCCCTTCTCACCCTCCTGTGCTCTCCTGGCTTGCCTGCTGGCAGTGTCTGCGCGTGGACTGTAGACACCCTGTGAGTAGTGAACGGGTGGGCTTTGAGGCCACAGGTAAGGTGTCACTTGATGCTTGGGGGTCAGTCCCAGCTCTGCTTCCAGTCACTTCCTGCTGGTCCGCTTCTGGAAGGCAGCAGGTTGTGGCACAAGTCCCTGGGTTTCTGTCCCTCCTTGGGGAGATGAGTTGGGCCCCTGGCTTCAGCTTGGTCCAGCCATGGCTGGTCATGGGCATTTGGGGCGTGAACCCGCGGAGGCTGTGCAGGTAAGAATGAGTTGTAGGGAAATCTGAACCCTGAAGGGGTGAAGGAGAAGAGGGGTCCAAAAGGGTAAGGCGTGGCCAACTGGGATCTGAAGCCAGCTGGCTCAGTCTGTCTAGCCAGTGTCTGTGAGCGCTATTGACCAATTCAAGCATGGGTTCAAAAATTGGGGAGTTCTAGGAACCTGGGCTGATCTCTAACCAAAGCCTCGGTTCACTTGTCTGTAAAGTGGGTTGACAAAGGCAGCCATGTGACAACTCTTGGTTTCCAGGCTGGTGAACCCTGAGTGTGTGCCTCCCCGCTTTAGTGTGAACCCTAACATTCAGGGACAAGGCCAAGATCTTCCTGCAGGCCAGCCGCACACCGACCAAAGTCTGACCCTCCCCCTGGGTGCACTTAAGGCTAGGAGCCCTACATTCCTCCTGGGTTACTCACTTCCTGTTTGGGTATTGGAATGTGAAAGACTGAAACTGACACCAGTTACTCCCTGGGGATAGCTGGGCCCTCCCACTGGGCCCTTAAAGCGACAGTCACCCAGGGCAGAGCTGGTCCTGCAGGGCCCCTGGGTCCAGGTGGGGTTTGAGCTCAAGAGGTCCACTGCAGTCCGCGTGCCGCCTCTATCCCTAGGACCCACTGCCCCCGGTCCCTTCCTGTCCCCCATTGCCTAATCCTGTGCCCTGGGCCATTTGTGCTGGGAGAGCACCCTCACCGCCAGGATCAGCTTCCTAGTCCCTGCAGGCCTCTAGAGCCTCAGACTGAGGATCCTGGCAGTGCCCGGCAGGGAAGGGAGCGGAACTTAGCTGCTCCGGTGACGGTGAGTTGTGTGACCTGTCCTGAATTTTCTGGGTTAAGGTGCTGTTAACCCCATTCTGCAACCATCTTCCCGTTCCTAGAATGCCTGTGGCCTGGGAAAGCAGTCGAGGACGGCCCAAAGCCTTGGAACCCTGCGCCCATGTGGGAGACCTGGAGGAAGTTCCTGACTCCTGGCTTCGGATCGGTGCAGCTCCTGCCATTGCGGTCACTTGAGGAGTGGATCATTGGATGGAAGATCTTCCTCTCTGTCCCTACCTTTCAATACCGCAACCCTGTGTCTAAGCACAGATTCTAAAAGGAACACTCCACGTCAAACACTGTGGACCCATGCGGAGTGTAGTATTGGTTGGTGTAGTGTAGCCTGGTGGCCGATGTCCTCACCTTGCATGCACCAGGATCCCATATGGACACCGGTTCCTGTCCAGGCAGCCCCACTTCCCATCCAGCTCCCTGCTTGTGGCCTGGGAAAGCAGTCAAGGACGGCCCAAAGCCTTGGGATTCTGCACCCATGTTGGGAGACCCAGATGAAATTCCTGGCTTTGGCTTGGTTCGGCTCTGGCCATTGCGATTACTTGGGGAGTGAATCTTCAGATGGAAGATCTTCCTCTCTGTCTCTCTTCTTCTCTCTATATCTGACCTTTGGATCAAAAAATATAAACCTTAAAAAAGTAAAGAATAAATAAAGCAAATCTTAAAAAAACACACAGCAGTTTCATCAGATTGTAAATGATTTAATTAGGTTCTCAATATGCCCACGATATGGTGAGAAACTTATATGATATGGTTTAAAAAATGTTTTAGAAGGCAGAAAGTACATACGAGAGGGTTCTTTCCCTGTGTCCACCAAGCATGGCCCAGTGGCAGCTCATTGCAATTACACA